ACCGAAAAACTGAACCAAACCGATAAAATAAAATCGATTTTATTTGGGTTTGGTTTGGTTTGGTTTTAGATTTTTGAAAATTGATAGTATTTGGTTTGGTTATGGTTTTTATTCGAAAAATCGAAGAAATAACCGATCCGAACCGATGAATTATATACATATATTTTATTAATATAAATACTTAATATATTGTTTTTATAAACAACTTTAAAGATATTATATATATTTTCATTAAAATTTCTTTATAATTTACTTATTGAAAGCAAAAATGTCCAAGATGAAAATATTTATCTTATTACTTTTCATGTATATGAGTGTCTATGACAATTCTTTGTGGGACTGAAAATGTTATTGTCTCTTCCTTCTAGACCAATATAGTGAATTTTAAAGCTTATTGATAGTAAATTTAGTGATCGAAAGTTCAGCAATTTAAGTCATTCTAACTATTTTTCGTTTTGAATGGATTGTTGTCACTTTTTCACATTTTGAATGAATTGTTTCTTTTATTTTCGTCTATGGTTAATAACCGAATCAAACCAAACAGAAACCGATAACCACAAAACCGATAAATGTATATTATGTTTGGTTTGGTTTGATTTTGATAATTTTAAAACCGATTAAGTTGGCCGGTTTATTTTTGGTTTTGATCAATAACCGATCCAAACCGACCCGTGAACACCCCTACCAATTATAATGAGTTGGATTACTTTATTTGGTCTTCTTTCTTTTTCTTGGTCATTGTTACAACTTACAACTTTTAGAAAAGAACTTTTTCTTGTTGAACATGATATATAATCAACTAAAGAGCCCACCCATCGTGTACTTAATTAACTAATAGTATCAACGAATAATTACTTTTCTAAATTCAATTAATGGAGTCTACTGTGAAGATTGAACTTATATTATAAGTAACTTTATTTTATTTTTTAAAAAGAAACCCTTTTTATCTTGTTTCAATTATTTAACGCCGAAATGAAGTTTGAAAATTGTGTTACGTGCAGCTTGACTAATAAAATGGCACTATTTTTTATTTTTTAAAGACTTTTGGTCATGGGCTCGAAGTATACCTGATATGATTGATCTGATTAATTTAATTTAATTAAATTAAACTCTTTCTTGTTCTTTCTGTTTTTGTCTTTGGAAAGTTGGTCATCACTAGATCCATCACATTCATTAGAGCCGAAGTCAGCATTTTAATCTTATTGATTCTGAATTTATAATAACAATTTTAAATATTTAATAAACTTCTTAATATAAATACAAGCAAAAGTTATTGAATTCGACTCAACTCGTATCCAGACTTCTAGCTTCACGATTTTTTTTTTCTTCAGCATTTAATATAATTTTAATTTCTTTATTCATAGATGGTAGTACTATAGTACACATCATTTTCGATAAATTGTAAGAGTTTTGAACCTTATTTTGTCTGCTTACTATAATGTTTTAGAAAAAAAAAACTTCATATACTCCAAAAAATATTAGTAGTAAATGCACAATGTGATGTTTCAACTAAAGGATATAAAGAATAGAGAATTGCTATTAGAACGTAATTTGGTGACGATGCAGACAAAATGCAGTTAATTAAGGGGACAAGTTGTCTAAAAATTCGAATACAGGTGCATATAATCATGGGTATTAAAATTATTAAAATATTACTTAATGTTAGGTAAACCAACTTAATTAAACATCAATTACAGGCAAGAGGAACCCTTTAATTTAGTAGATATACTTTTAATCTCCAACGTGACCTTTCAGAATAAATGAATCATGATCTTCTTGTACTCTCGATTCATATTATATGATATTTTTAGTTTTTATATTTAGTTAAAATTATTAAAATTTTCACATAATCAAAAAAGTATTAATGGTATACCCTTATTTAGATATGTGGATGAATAGATTTCTAAAAGGGTATGGTTAAGCTAAAATCATCATATTAATTAATTATTATATAAATCGGAGAAAGTAGATTTTGTCCATACGAATTGCAAATTCAGAAATATACTCGCCAAGGGGGGCCTATTGGGTAAACAAAAACCAAATCAAAGTAAATAACAATGTCCAATCAGTCCAAAGGAGTTATCGGCATACTTAAGTAATTCAAACTATGTTTTCAATCATATTCATATTTTGAATATGAGCTTAATTAAACTCATTACTCACCTATTTTGACATAAATCCTAAAATACACAAGTTTTGAATTCATAATTTCAAAGAAATCAGCCCTTAAAGATATTAATTAATTTTAAATTTTGAATCCTTATCTGAAATTGTGTGACTAAGGTTTCATGCAAAAAGAGTTGGAAACAATCAAAGAAATGAGTTCCTCATATATTTACACAATCGTGGCAAGATAATACAAGTAGTGTCATCTCGTTGTTAACAATATTGTCAATTTTTCATTCGTTTTTGCCATACTTAATCAAAGAACTTGACTTATTAAGAAACCAAATTTCTTAATAAAAATACATCCAAAAGTATTTTTCAATATTTGATATACATAGAAATGTCTAATATAAACATAATAATACACAAATATTTAATTAGAACATATCATAATTTAAATATCTGACAAGAAAATTATTGTCAAACTTAAAAGGAGTATCAATGTATTCAGTCAATCCAATTTTATTATTCCATCAATGTACGTTAGAGGGTCTATTCTCTGTTTGCATCATATTTTCACGTTAAAAATCTTGGAATCGTTTGATACGTGAGATAAACGATAATAATTTTGAGGTAAAATTGATAACTAATTTTGTTCTATATTTAATTTAAGATATTAGTTAATTTTAGTATTATTCTATTCTATAAATGCTCTTGCCTTTGTAGATTAAGGCTTATGCCTTTTGGGGGCCCAAATTATTATCAAGAATAAATTATGTGTTAAATTTTTATAGAAAAAATTGTTTAATTATGATAAAAAATATATTATTTTATCCACTTTAACATCTTTTATACTTTGTTAAAAATAAAAATTAATAGTGAAAAGTGTTGAACAAAGTGAATTACAAATTCTTTTTTATTTCTTTTTAAATTTTAGATTCAAACATTACAACAAGCATATTAAAATGGTGTTTTCCAAATCATCAACTTCTTGAATCAGATTTGATGGTTCTAACTCTTATCTTTATTTATATTTGTCAACTTATTACTTGTAAAATTATGTTAACAAGTCATATAATAATTGCCTCACTCAAAGGATGTTTTTCAATGTTGAGTTGATAAAATCTTACCTAAAATCAATAACTGAAAAAACAATATTAAATACTAATAATTTTCATCTAAATAGTGTAAGAATTTTTTGAATAAATATGTATATAAAGTTTGTTTATATTTTAGGCCACAAATTGAAATTTCGCTTTAGGCCCCCAATTACGTTGAGCCACCTCTATATAAATATATGATGAATGATTATTAAATGATCTTATAAAATATTTCAATATATAAAATATCTTTATCTTGCGTACCATACCAAACGACCCTGAGCGTAATAGTTCTATCAAACGACATGCAAAACAAATTAATTTATGTATAGAATAGATCACACATTCTGAATTTAATTATTTGTGGCAAACGAATTTGCAGGAAGGTAGACTTTTAGCTTGTTTAATTTATTAAATTTTTGATCTCTTCGAGAAACGAATGAAATTGAAGTCTTCTTATCCTTCTCGATGTAAATTAAAGACCAGTGTAAATTTTATCAATTAAATGAAGATATCGTAATCAGTACAACTCAAATTCCTAGACCTCTTCCAAAAATGTCAAAGGGATACCTTCTTTCATTAGTCAAAGTCATAATCAGTACAACTCAAATTCCTACACCTCTTCCAAAAATGTCAAAGGGATACCTACTTTCATTAGTCAAAGTCTACATTACTGCTTCCACCGTCAACTTTTAATCGTCATGATTTTTTTATAATCAAACTATAATTATAAGAATTTTTACTAACATTTTTCGATGTGTTTTTTCATTTTATTGGTGTACAAAAAGTTGCAATTTATAGTAGTTTTCGTTTAGTTTTTGAATATCTAAAGTTTTTGTTTAAAATATCGAATTAATGTAATCTAATTTAATTTTGAAAATTAGTCAATTTGACTTTCGAAAAGTGCAACATGACAAATAAAAATGGTCGGAAGGAGTATTCTCCGAGTACTAGCTTTCTAAGACCACCTGGTATAAAGCATATCTTATACAGATTTATAATGATCAAGTTTTTAAAGCAGTATTTTGAAAGGGAAAACGATTTGATATATATTTTAACTTTACGGTATACCTCTACTGTTATGCAAATAATGGACATTATACCGTTTTTGCCCAACGAAAATTAAAAATTAATTTATAAAGATACATGTAGTGATATATTTGATCCGTTTAAGTTCTAGCAAAGTTCAAGGGTATGGTTTATCATTCCCACACACAATTTTTTTATATTTTGACTTCTTTCACTATAAGAGTATTATAATTAAAACACATAAATATATAATTTCTCAAAACAAAAAATATAGCAAGCTAAGTCCGGAGAGAGTATTATAACTCTCTTTTGCTGCTACTCAAAAACACCTATTCATTTCTAAAAGTATGATCAAACATGTATAACTTTCTAAAATGAGTAGTTTAAAGAAATAAACATTATTGACTTTCTAGAAGCGTGATCAAGCAGACTATAATAGTAATTAGGAGCTAACTTGAAGTGAATCTAAAGAAAATTTTCATAAATTTAACTAAGCTATTGTATATACATCTAGAAATAAAATAAAATCTATATACATATAATAAGCTCGCATTCATTTCTAAATATACTCACAAATAAAAATAAGGACAAAGAAAAGAAAAGTTCATTTTTGCAATAATATAAGTATCTCCTTGAGAAAAAAAAAGCCTCCTTTGTAGGATCTTGATTAACATAAGATGAAACAAAGTTTCTTCTCTCTCTTATAGTCTATGTACACATGCATGATTTAAGATTAAACAAAGAAATTAAACTACTAATCATTAATTAGTTTTTCATCATCCTAAGAGCCAATGCTTGAAGTTCACCCAACTCAGTTTGAGAAGGCCTCTTCCTACTATTACTAGTGTAGGCCGCTTGATGATAAAACACTTGATCTAGTCGGCTTTGAATCTCTGGTACATTATTATTATTACTATTATTTATTCCATCACTATAATGATCAATCGATTCAAGTGAACTTTGTGGTGATGAATTTGAATTCATAGTATATGTTGGATTATTATTATTTTGTTGGAAAGATGATGCCATATTGTTGTTGGACCATTGATGAGGATAAAAATTGTCTGAATTTCTTGAATTGTTGAGTAAACTTTGTGCCAGCTGAGTCTTCACTTGCATAAGTTGAGCTTGAAGATATGCTACCTAACAAATATAACAAAATTGAAATCAATTACGTACCAAGAAAAAAAAAATTGACATTGAGGGTGTGTAATATGTTAGTTAGGTACTAAGGAAAATACTTTATGAAAAAAACATTTTCAAAGGAAATTATGTTCCACTATGCAACACTTTATAAAATTAAATTTATTTTTCATTATTACCCTTCTCATCATTCTCAAACTATATATTCTCCTAGAAATTACAAAGTAATTAAGAACCGATAAATATGAAAAGAAAAAAAAAATCTCTAACAATTCTCTTGCACTTCAAAAAATTCACTTATTTTAAACTATAACTTTTTTTATCTAACACTTATTATGGACTAGAGAGAGTATTTGCCAATTTCATGGAAATAAAATATGCATAAACATAAGTTAATTTATGTACTATTAATTTCCAAAAACACCATGATTATGTATGAATAACTAAATCCGTTAACTAGTACTCCTATATTTTAACATGAAAATTCTACATGTATAACTCTAACCAGCAACGAAATCCACAATCAAAAGAGTAATTACCTGTTGTTGTAAAGCGAAAATATGTGCAACACAACCATAGACAGGATCTTTGATCCTAGCTTGAGCTTCATAAGCAATAGTAACAACAGCCTCACATCGATCCGGGACAGGAAGGTGTAACAACAATTTCGAAACATTACTAGCCCCAAACACCTTATGTATGGCTGCAAATCTAGCAGGACCTTGTTCCGAACAAAAATACGGAGCAAAAATACAATCAACAGCACATTTGCGGCGCAAGAATTTACATGCGCCGCAAGGTGATGAACCTGTCCCAGTACTAGCCATAATAATTCTTGCGCCGCAAGGTGATGAACCTGTCCCAGTACTAGCCATAATATTATTAGATGAAGATGAAGAAGAATAAGAATAAGAAGAAGCACACGAACAGACTAGGAAATGGTGCAAATATGAAGGTGGGGCTAATAGTGGACTTTGTAGGGAGTTTTTATAAGGAGTGTCAAATGAAAGGGGACAATATAAGGTATGTGTGTAGGGTTATGAGGGGACATTTTGTAATGTCTTTTGCAATATTTACGAGATTTTTGAAATTTATGATCTTAAATATTTTTAAACATAAATTATTGAGTTTCTATGATTTTATAAGGAATTAAGATTAAGGTGTAGATTATTTTAAAAAGATAAAATAAAACGTAATAAGTTACAATGTAAATCACAAATTATATTACTCTAAAGTTTATGTGCATATAAAAGCTTTTCGATAAGAAGTATAAAAATATATATTTGTTTTCTTTAAATGTAAAAAAATATCATTATTGTTGAGCAAAGTGGAACAGAAGGAGGAGTACTAACAAAGAGTTTTAAATTTTATACCAAAAGTAAAAAGATAGTTTATTTGTGTAGTATTTTGCTTTATTTTTCTGGGTAATTGATTTCTCATTTTTATAATAGTGGTGGAGTCCAAAAACAATTAATAAGGAGATTTTTAAAAATCTAGAAATACCACATCTTTTATTTTAGAGGGTAATTTGTTATGGAGATTAAATTAATTTGGAATTATAATCTTTGGACTAATTTATTCTATATGAAACATGGTATAAGATGATTCTAAGTTGAATGCGATAAAATATGATAGAAATAATACATAAATATGTTTTTTAACTTGGTTTCAGCTCATATTTATGTCCTTCAATTATGATTGCACACAAATAGACACTTAAACTTGTATAAAGTTGAACAAATAGACGCACACGTACTATGTGACATCCTATATATATGACAATTTGTATCTTAAATGATGTCCTACGTATATTATGTCATTTAATATTCATGTGTCTACTCGTTCAACTTTATACAAGTTTAAGTGTCTATTTGTGCAAATCCAAAATTAAAAGACATAAATATAAAATGAGGTCAAGTTAAAGAGTATATTTATGTATTATGTCAATATGACATCTTAAAATTAAGTTTGGTATTCGATTTATACCAAACATGGCGCTAAACTCTCATACCAAATTGAATCTGGTAATATCTAACTTTATTCCACATATCAAGACTAAATAGAAATTAAACTCTTTTTAATATTTTATAGCTTGAGTGTGTATATATTATTGATTTGTTAAGTTTCTTATTTGCATTATTATATTAGTTCCAATTGATGAAGAAAAGCCCAAATCTTTTTTTATTTTAGTGTTTGTTTACCAGCTTTAATTTGCTAGTCGCGGTGACAAAGTAGAGGGCCCACTATAATTTGTCATGTTGTTAATATTGAACGTTACGTTTTAATTATTTAAAAGTACATAAAAATAATTTTTCCATCTTTCTAATTTTTTAAATAATTTCCCGCCGAACGCCGCACCTGGGAACTGCTGCTTCTAAATAATTTGTTGCTTTCTCAAAGAAAAAAAAATAGTTTTTCTTTGATTTTATCTAATGACACGTGGTGGTGATGCTTTTGTACTTTGACTTCCAACCTAGGCTCATTGTTTTCTTTCATTTTTTTTTTCAAATTTATTTTTCTGATGAATTATTATATTAAAAATTCTTTAGTTGAATATATCTGTAACAAAGAATTTGAGGAAATTTATTAGGGGTTGAAAAAAAATCATAAAAATGATTTCACATGGCATAATGAGCTCATGTATATATATATATATATAGTATTATTTTTCAACGAAGAACCCACTTGACCCACTGTGTAGGTCCGCCCCTGAGTTACAATGGTGTCAAACTGTTCAACTGAATATCATTCGTCAAAAAATTACATTGTATATTGTAACACCCCGAAAATCTAATGACCTAAGCTAGAGCCTAACTTTTAGTCTAGTGTCCTAAATAGGATTAACATGAAGATTTGAGTCCTAAAATAACTTCCCTAAGTTAGTACTAAGGTCCTAATGCCTAAACGACAAGGCATGGCCCCCCCGAGGAGGGCCAAGGGGCTGCCCCAAAAAGCTGTCAAAACAACTTGACTCATGAAATGGGCACCCACGCCTCGTAGGTGGGGGTTGTGGGTCGAGACTTAGTCTCCCCATTTCTCCCCCTTCTCTGAAGCAAACAACGCTTCACCAGTACGTGGAGTCACCCCACCTACGGTCCGTAGGTGGGGGATTCGTAGGTCATGTAATGACCCGAAATGTCATTTTGGTGATTTTTCGTGGAAATGACTATTTTGCCCTTTCGGTAGTTGCCCCGAGTCCCATGTTTTGTGGTTGTAAAGTTGGTTTGAGGAAAAGTTGGTAAAAAGTTGAGTTTTTGAGAAGTTGAGTTTTTTTATGAGTTAAAGTTGGTTAAAAAAAAAGTGCTTTTTTGAGTCATTTGGAGTTTCGGAACTCGGATCAGATTTCCGTCGATTCCGGCAGTTTTAGAATGTCGAAACGGGTCTGTGTGAAGTTACGGATTTGAATTTGGAGTTGAAACGAAGAATTGAGGTCCTAAGTTGCTAAAGTTGTGAAATTTTGATAAAGAGTTGACTTTGGTCAACATATGAAGTTCCGAGGTTCAGATTGAAATTCAGAGAGTACTGTTGGTTTCGGGAGGCGATTCTAAGTCTAGAATGAGTCTTGGTTGAATTTTTAGACGCTCCGTTTGAGTTTCGAATTTTTTGGCGTTAAACTAGTTTCTTGGCATCTTATTGAATTTCGGGTCAAGGAGTCCTCGAATTCAAATTCCGATGGTTCCATTGAGTCCGGAACGTCGAATTTAGTGGGGGTACATATTTAGTTTGTGTGACGAGATTCCGAACGAATCCCGAGGGTCCAACGGGGACTTAAACTTTGGTGTTATAATTGTGTTTCAGCTGCTGTGTTTTTAGCTGCAACAACAGTTTCTTTTCTTTTTTTTAAAGCCAAAACCAGTAGCCATTTTCCCCCAACTTGAAAAATACTCATTTCTCCATTTTTAGACTTTGAGAGCTCGAAAATAGGCGATTTCAAGTGGGTTTTCGCGAGGAATTCATTGGGTAAGTTATTTCCAACTTATATCTTTGATTTTCATCGATTATTTATGGATTTTAACATCAAAATTTCAGATCTCAACTGTAAAATTTGGGGGTTTTTGCCTAATCCGAATTTAATAAAAAATTTGAGTTTGTGAACTCATTTCAACTCCTTTTTCGAAACGGTTTTCACTATTGAATTCTAAATTTCTTGGGGAACATTTTTCACTAAAATTTCCAGATTTTGAGAATATTTTTCGGAACGAGATTTTTTTGACCATTTTACCCTTTTCTCCAAATTTCACGATATTGGTGTTGTTAGATTCGTATTGATTGTGAGATTCCATTTATGATTAGATTGTGGTGATTTGGAGCGTGCTCGGAAGGGTAAAACTCAAATTTGAGTTACTAGTTGAAGTGTTTTGAGGCAAGTGACTTCTAAACTTTGTTAAACTCTTAGACTACACATGACTACTTTCCTAATTGTGTTGGGGAGTAATGGGGATTGAGGATGAGTTTTATTTGTTGATTGAAATTGTTGTAATTGAAAGATGAGGAATAAAACGAGCTAAATGTGTTATATGTGACTTGAATTTGTTGAATAAGTCATGTGATAACTGATATTGAGGGGATAGAAGAGCATGAGTAGGCTATGATTGATACAGACATTGATGTTGAGACAGACGATGTGTAATACTATGATGTGGTCGTGATATGGTTGTGATTGAGACAGATGATGTGTAATACTATGATGTGATCGTGATATGGTTGTGATTGAGACAGATAATGTGTAATACTATGATGTGATCGTGATATGATTGTGATTGATGACATGTGCATATTCATTATTCATCCCATGTGTGAACTATCTGTTGCATGAGTTCTGAGACACTGTTATGAGGATGGATGGATATGAGACACAGTTGAGACTAGCTTCGGCTAGAGATATATGAGATGGACTAGCTCCGGCTAGCGATTTGGATGCCGATGGGATTTGGTTCCGGCGGTGATACATGGTTCATGTGTGGCCCCCATGGGTTCTGATTTGAGTATTCAGCGCGGTCTGATTACGTCAACAGATGTGTATCTTAGGACAGACATGCATCACGACTACATGACATCATTATTGCATTTGCATCGCATTTGACTTCATCTTTGTCTGTGGTATGTGGATTTTACCTACTTGCTTCTCTTCATGTAATAAATGATCTATTTGCTCTTATATGAGGATATGAGGTTGATGTTGAGATACTATTGGATATATCTGTTGATTATGAATTTTGTAGTATAGGTTGTTGGTTCGCTGTTAGAATGAAGTTTCGGTGGTTCGGTTGGGATTGAAATGAGTTATTTGTAGCTGCTAGTTTAGCTTAGTTTAGTGTTACTTGCGAGTACCTGTTGCTTTTGGTACTCACCCTTGCTTCTACACAGTTGTGTAGGTTGACAGCTCTATCAGATTGGGCTTATTACTCATCTTCAGATTAGAGCTTCCAGACTTACTTGAGAGGTAGCGGTTCATTCCAGACGTGGCCTCAAGTTATCTATATTTACTGTTCTGTTATATTCTAGAACTTTACTATAAGACTTGTATATTTTATTCATATTCTGTATTAGAGGTTTGTACATGTGACAACCAAATTCTGGGGTTATGTTGAGTTTATTTAAAGACTTCCGCTTATCTTTGTATCTTATTCTTGTTTTATTAATTCCGTATCGTCGGGGTTTTCGGTGTTAGGCTGACGTGTCCGGTGGGGTTTGGGCACGTGCCATCACATCCGGTTTTGGGGTGTGACATTGCTTATTCTCGGCCAACTAAGGGGTAAATCCTAATTAATTAATTAGAGTTAGGGGACGGTTTTTATGGTTTTATAATATATATTTAAGGCTTTTA